ATCATGGGAAAAAAGTTTCAACGTTTATGTTTCTAAGCTTCAAATTTTAGCTTGATTAATCTTGCATTGCGAAAAGGGGAGACACGTAGAGGACCGATGTCCTGATTGATCCTGATCTTGGAATGTACGAGATTTTAGAATGAACAAAAAATACGGGTTATAATCTAAAAGTTTATTACACATAGCTGTGTTACTTTTGTATGAAACAAATCCTGAAACTTTCTAATTCTCTAAAGCTGAATGGTTAAATTTTGGTTGTGTGTCTTATAATTTCAACAAGTTTTAAAAAAAGGGTAGAACATTTTTTAAAAAGATGTCTTCGGAAACAAGTAAAGTCACGTCTGTTAACGGAAAATAATCACCTTTTTCGAGATTGTCCTCGTTGTTTTGCACACTTTTTAAATAAGTTTTGCTTTGCTAGTCTTTGGACATGATTATATTGATTTTCTTGAAATCATTTTCACTTTGATTCTGTGTCGATCATAATCCGGTCAATTTGTTTAGCCAGTGAGCCAAATGTCAAGGCTGTGGACTCTAGACAATTTGTTTGTTTGTTTGTGGATGAGCATGATATTTATGGAGACATATTTGACCACTATATCTCCTATTGCATTAAATAAGTGCGCATGGCTTTAACATTGAGTGTTGACTCTTCCTTATGGTCTTTGTCTATCTTTTTCGAATACTGCTTCGATCTGAAATTATTAATAGTTAATGAACGGCCGGCAGCCGCAATCTGTCAACGGTACGACTATTCCACCGCTAATCTTGTTTTGTCACTAAGCAAAAAAGCCGATTTTTATTACAGTACTATTTATTGACAACACATTTGTCAGTGCCCAGAATTTTGAAAAGCGGTAAATTTTGTGTAAAAAAAATCTGTACAAAATTTGTGAACTTTTTCTAACTTTTAGTATTCGCTATTTTGATGTGTAAGTTTTTTATCTCCAAAAATCAACGCGAATTCTAATGTTAGTTAGTTGATATATTTTTTCAGTGTTTGCATTCTACTGTTTTTGCATTTTTTTTCTGCTTCAATCATTTCGATCTATTACTCTATCTGCTCATTGGTCGCACACCTGTGTTTCAAAAACTCAAATGAAGACGAATGTTGATAAATTTAGAGTGCAATTAATAAAACGAAACATTTGTCGCAATAGAAGAGTAGTGATAAAGGATTGAGAATCCGCAATGAGTTTCCACAAAATGACTCGTTAATTTTTGATGTCGCATTTTCTAAAACCTTTCGATTTTTGTGACTAGCCGAAACATAATAATTTTTGTAAGTTTCAATTAAACGTTTTTTTGCCAGTTTTAATCAATCAAAACGGCTTTGAAGTTTTCGAGAAGCGGTATATTGTGAAAAAAGTGTCTAAAAATATTGTGAAATACAGTTTTTTAGAGAAATTGTTGTTTTTTGGACGATTAACTTTTTGAACAAGCTCTTTTCAATGAAAGATATTATGTTTTTGATTCCGATAGTGGGTTGATTGGTCTAAAACAAGTGTGACAAAAAGAGGGGATTGTTTACGTTGCAAGAGGGTAATTTTTATGTTTTGTGATGAATCAGAAGCGTCTATCATTGAGCGTCAACTGGAGCATCAAAAAGTGGCATGAATATATAAAGGCTATCTTTGTACTTTATATAATTCTACCACTTTTTTGCATCATGTATTTTTACGTTTTTCGTATCATTTTTTGTTTGCCAGAATACTTTTTGTTTGCAAGCAGTTAATCTGAAGTGTACTTTTCCCTATTGTTCCAACATAACATAGTGCCTACCTCCAACTCGACAAGACAACCATCCAGTTTTGATCGATCGATCGATTCATTCACCCTCCTATTCAACCCTCTCTCATCCCAACCCAATTTAACATCCCCAATTTTTTCCGATCCCCCCTAACTAGTATTGATCTTTGAGGTGGCAGTGCTCCGCCGCTAGCCACATGTTATCACTTTTTCATCCATGCGAGGCCATATGGCAGATGGGTCAGAGTGTCGAAAATTTAAAATTTGTTCTTTAATACCGAAAAAAATTCCACGTTTTTCTATGTGAAAAATTTGGAAGAATTGAAGTGCATCTGATTTCCAAGATGCGGAAAAAAGACAGAAAAAGATTGATTTTTTTTTGTTATTTTGAGCCCAAAAGCAATATGTTCTACCCGTATTCGGACGGTGTAAGCCTTCTGACCAAAGTACGACCACCAATCTTGCCCCCTTCGAAGCTCCATCGCTCGAACAGATTTTGAATCTATGTTTGGAAACGTGCAATAATCATAAAATGATCCTGTGAGCTCTGAAAATTGTCTCAATTATTCAACACATTTTTTTGCTAATCAATACCTCCTATCTTTTAAGCTCAGCCCCAATGTACTTTTTCATAGATTGCAAAGGACGTTCTGTGTGCTTTATTAGAGAACAATCTTTGAACTAAATGTTAAGTATTACACCCCCAATACTTAACTGCATGTTGAATTCCCCCTTTGGAAACTTATTGTTTTTTCCTTGATCCTTTAGATCCGCCTTGAAAAAATATGAAAAACTTGCTTCATAATTTTTCGACGCGATTGTGATGTTGGCTAAAAATATTTGTTTGTGGATCATAATTGCATAATTGACAATACTTAACTTAATGAATGGGTGCATTTTAAATGAGCAGTGCATGAATAATACATTCTGAGCATCTATTCTACGGACCAACTGTTCCTGATTTCGAATTCTGATCTTTTGTACTGACTCAACAAAGATAGCTCTGAGCTCCACTTTCCCACACGAGTTCAAAATGCGAGTATCCTCCTTATATTTATTCATCAATCATAAATACTGTTTATTTTCTCCAATGACTTTTCATTTGGGCAAACTTCAATCCAGACCGCTTTCCACTTTGTGAATGAAAAAGATGGAAAAGATAAACAACTCCCCCCTTGTTCTGCAAACGATATCTTCATCAAGTCTGCTCTCTGAGCTCGGCGTGATCGCGCGAATGAATCGGGATCCGGGTCGCGTCCCGGTCTGGCTAGTGTTTGCACCGCGGCCGCCAACCATATATCAAAAGGCCAGATGTGTATCTAGAGTACTTTATACTATGCCTGGTATGTGTATTTAAGGTCTGGCATGTAGAGTGATGTAAAAAGGGTTAAATTTGCAAAGCGATGGGGTATTGGATCTTATGTTTTTTTTGTGGCATGAAATCCTACGTGGGGCTCTGTTCAAAGGAGATGCGTCAAAAATAAAGTCGAAACTGCTTGAATTACAACGTAAAGAATTGGCATATTTCGAGTATCAAGAGGCCGCACGTTTGCCCAAAATGAATCATATCGAAACAGTCGAAGTTTTATCGAGATCATGGAATTCTCAAACTCGCTGGCTGTAATCCTTTCATGGCTATTTTCATTCGTCCAGTGGAGCTAAACCAGATGTCACACATTTTCCATTCGTCATTCGTTTTTTACTTTGTCATTTTTTGACGGCTAAAAGATTCAACCAAATGTCGTCGTTAGATTTTTTTGGCAGCTAAAATGTATCGAAAGTATTTATACAGCGAGTTGCTTGTATTTGTCTGAAGCTTCAAGCCATTAGTTTGACCAAAATGTGAGGTTAGATTTTAGCTTTGATTATCCCTAGGTGGAGGAAGGAACTATGGCTTAGGGTGGGACTGATGTACCGAAATTACACCTCGTACGAGGTCGAGTGATTTATCATTATGAAGTTTCAATCGTGATTCGGATTACAAAAAAAAACACAAAAAGTTATTTCGGTATTTATAAAAACTGGTCTTTTTTTAATGCTATTTAGACAGTTTGCTAATCGGCGCTTTTGCCATTCACTATAAAATTGATAAGGGAAAACTCATCGGCATGAACTTTCTGAAATTCTTTTATTTTGTAAGCTTGCGATTAGTAAGCGTTATCAAAGTTTATATAATTTTTTCCAGTTAAACAACCTGTGAAACAAAATGACTGAATAAACTTCTCATCTGCACTCTCGTCAAGCAATAGACATATTTTGAGCATGGTTGCTTTTTACGCTAGCTAGCTTGCAAACGAAGGCTATTAGTACGATCTTTTTTGTCTAACCTAACTCGTAAGTAAAAATGTTCATTAAACGAGTTCACTTATTTGGTGACACTTTTGCTATAATCACAATCTGAAGCACTGGAAATTTCATAGCATCTGTTCTCTGCTTTTTGGTGGCTATTGTTAGTGATTGAAGAAGCGTCCGTGGCTGAGTGGTTAGTGCTAATAGGGTTGTGAACGCTTAAAGTGTCGTTTAATTTAGTCTGAAAAACGAAAAAAAAACACGAAAACCAGAGACAACACAATTATGACCAATGGGATAACCTAGTAATGACCAATAGGGTTTTTACACTAGCGGCGTAGTGTATTATCATGGCTCTACTTTTCGAACCTAACTTGCAAATAAAAATGCTCATTTGATGGCACTCTTGCTAGAGTCACAATCTGTAGAATTGAAATCTCCATAGCATCCCTTCTCAAATCTTTGTGGCTAATGTTTGCACATCGTTAAATTCGCATTTTCGAATCCGATATGCATTAAACTTTTACCTAGAAGAGGCCTATTTCTATTTTTCTTACTTCACTTTATAGAGCTGCTTTTTTGTCCTTTTCTCGCTGATGTTTGCGAAGCGCAGCTTCGCCTCTGTGTTGTTGTAACCTCTTTTGATCCTCTACTACCTTTTTTAGGAGTCAAAGTTAGCTAAACCCACATCATAGTTCCGTCTAGTCATTTGCAGTGACGTAGTCGGAACAACAGAAAATTAACCAGTTGTTTTTTTGATAACTGGATGACAACTTAAAAGGCTTTGAAATCGCGCTGACCTCTATCCTCTTGAAGCGATTTTTGAGCGAGATGTATAAATGGCTCATACGACTGGAAACAAAAAAATTGATTTTCTTGTTGACATTTCGACAGATAAAAAGTATAAGAGGTTTCAATATAGTTTTTTTTCTCTATGTTAAATTGTGTGTTGTGTTGTTTAGAATGAGCTGCGACAGAGTGTGGTGGCTAGAGAGGCGGCTGTGAAGAAGAGTGAACAGGTTGAACAGGACATGAACATGATCAGACAATACCTCATGTACGTTCAACATCAACATAACTGGGTTTAAAGTTTGAGAAAAAAAAGTTAAATTAGCATTTGAGTGTAGTCAAATTTTAATCAACCAGCTGAATGAAATTAGTACAAACAGGGAAGCTATCGGGTACAAAACTTGAAATTTCATCTTGATAACGATATTTAGGGCATGGAATGATAAAATTGTTTCTCGACATTCTCTATTTAGTGTTTTTTGTGGTTAGTTCATAATTAAGAAAAATCAGTTTTTGGGCAAAATTTTCCGTTCGTTGTTTGGCGTACCTTCGGAGATCAAGTTTTCATGCAAAGTTGAACTCTAGTCTCAAAGTTTTAACGAGCCAACGAGTCGTTTCGCCAACGAGAAATATCTTGTTAGAGTGTTAATGGCCCACTCTAGGTTTGCAAAACTGGCGAGTTGTTCTGTGTTTAACGGCAGCTAAATCTGACCTGAAATGTGTCCCAATCACAGTTAAAAATTTAAACAGGGCAATGAGCAATATGAAAAGTACTTCAAAGTTCATTCTGTCAAGTATAATAAGACACAGGTCATTTCTGAGTATCATGGAAAAATGATGAGTGCTTGCAGCAATGTATTTGTGCAAGCTCACCTACTCCTTACTTTCTCTTCCCTTTTCTCACCCGTTAGACCCTCTTTTCTTGCTCTCGAGGGGGATTAGTAAGAGCAAATTAACTGTAAAAAAGGTCGGTTATTTTTAATAACCAATTCATTTTTGATTTATTTGTAATTGTAAATATTCTCCCATTATTTGTCTTCTAGAATACGTTAATTGACTTCGGAATTGCAGTTTTTGTTGGAAAAAAAGTTTGGTCCTTTTAAAAAGTAAATATTAACTATAGAGGGAAAACATTTCACAATTTGCCATGAAGAACTTTTAAAAATCAATACCATTCGTGATTAAGAGTAGTTTCTGCATAAGCTGCTAATTGTAAAACAGTTTTTTGTTGACATTTTGTTTGGCAAATTTGTTTTTGTTTTAGATAGTTTTCTCGTCTGCTCAAAGTTTTACCTAAAATTTTGAAAATATTTGCATTGAAATGATTATTTCCCAATTTGTAAATATTTTTTCTTTGTTCAGTAAAATTAGTACGGCTGGAAGTAAAAAAAAGACCAGCTAGTATATGATGAGGAGTTTGTGTGCTTAGACATGTGGCTTCTTTGGAGGCAGTTGTTTGATAATTAATTTCCCAATTAAGTTTCCATAATGCAAACAGGTGAGCGAAGCAACAGTAACAGACCATTTTCAATCACTCATCTCCCTTCTGTGGACTTTTTGAGTGAGGAAAATACGCAAACAAAGATAAAGAAATTGATGCAGTTTTGAATTATTAAACACTCAATCTATTTACTATTCTGCTCAAGTAACATTAAACATAACACAGTAAAACACCTTTTTTTATAATGTCTCCTTTTAAAACTGTTTTTGAATTGAATTTCTTTGGTCAAACTGCCTTAATAGAATGTTTCTGCTGATGTTACAGTAATATCTGTTTCTATGATTGTTTAGCGCAGAGAGTTCAAATAACGAATTTTTGTCTTGATTCACAAAAGACCTAAGAAGCTGACAAATGTTTTAATAACTATCTCTCACAAGTATAACTATCTCTCGCGAGTTTTTTGTCAATATTTCTCAAGCACCCATGTTTTAAAAAAAACTTTAGAAAAAAGGCACAACTAAACCAGAAAAAAAGTACTTGTTTATACAAGCCAAGCTTGTAGTAGTATAGTACGCTGAGATTTCCGAACGAAACTGCAATTTTTGCAATCTTGTGGTGCCAAGTTTCTGTGTTGTTTGAATAGCAAAATCTATACCCGCTTAATTGAAACCCATTTATTACTGCCTGGTTTTGTCAGTCCACCATCAGTGTTATATGAGTATATAAGCGCTAAGACGTGGTGAATTGGTTGCATATATAACAGAAAGGCTCAGGTTCGAGTTCCATTGTCGCCGCAATTTTTGTTTTTGGATTTTTCGCGGTTTGACCTCTGATTTTTTTTAGGTTCAATTTAAATCCGTTTGCTAAACAAAAAACAAATGTGAATGCTACAAAAAAGACAATGACGTGAATGTCTTCTGATTTTGAAAATGGAGTTATTTTCTAGCTTTTCAATGGAGTAAAAAATTTCCAGTTTTTGTTCTGACCATAGAAAGTGGGGAGGAACTTTGTATTCGGGTGTGTTTTAGTTTTTCTTTTAGTTTTTCCACGGACTGGGTTGAGTGATATATCATATTGAAGCCCTTCCAGTTGTGATTCGAACGACAATTAAAAATTTCGCAAAAGTTTTCCCAGTGTCGTCGAGAAAAACTGGTTTGAAATTTTAGATTTTTCGTCTAAATTCGAGCGAGTGAGCAGGCCTATATCTTTTTTTTGTTATGCTTTATTTAAGGCTCGAAAATTTAGATTCGCTCAAATGAAGTTAGTTTTTGGAGTTTTTAACTTCATCTTAGGAATCAAAAATTCTGAGAAAATTCAGGAAAAAAATTGAAAATTTTAAAAATATCTATTTTGTTTGTTTTTCTGTTCATTTGTCTTCAATACTTGTTCTCCAATTCGCGTATTTTGCAATGACTGATGACAATGCCTAATTTCAGATTCTTTTATCACACAGCGCCGAAAAAATTACAATTATTTTTTAAGACTGGTCGGAACATTCTGTGCTACTTGCACAGTAAACGGCTATCCTTGTTTCTTATTATGTTTGTTTTATGAAATAAGTGCGAAGAATTAAGTGCCAATAAGTTTCTTTAAAGGTTTTCGATATTCAAAGAGCTTCAAGGTGAGACATTTCTCCTAAAATTTGAAAGTTTTTCTTTTGGTTATATATTATATTTTAATCAGATTGTAGAGTTTTTTTTTTGATGTTAAAGTTTCAATAAACGTAGTGAAGTCTCTTATGTAAGTTATGATGATTTTTTCTGTCGTTTTTTGCCGGAAAACTTCTCAGAATTCACGCTCTAATTTTGTTTTTCGCGGTTTGACATTTGATTTCTTTTTAACTTCAAATGATTTTCTTTGTTGAATGGAAGGTTAACTCCACTATCGCATAGCAAAAGTATAAAGATCACGGAAAACGTGATCAAAATCTGTTTTTGAAAGAAATTTTTGAATTTCAGATTTCCCAGCGAATTTAAAAATTTACCATTTGATCCTATTTTCTCAAATTGAGTTCTTTCCCAACAATTATCACTCATTAATGGTTCTAGAAATTCAAAGAGCTTTCTGGCCATGTTTTTTTCCTTTCAAATTCGAAAGTTTGAGTTTTCCAAAAATCAAGTTAGTTTTTTTTTGTTTCCTTGCGTTCATTGACTATTTTTCAACTGTCTGCTGGATATTTTTTTCTTGCGTCTTCTAAATATCTTATTCCAAATGTGTGAAATTCAAAGTTTTGGCTGAAATTTGCCGATTTTGTTTAAGACCACGTTTGTAATTTGGTTCAGGTTGAATTGAGTTTTTTAAGATTAAGCTGAAAATGATTGAGATTTATTTATATCGCATTTTTTTCAGATGCTTAAATTTACTTGATTTCAAATATAACTATTAACTAATTGATCTATAGAAATAAGTTTCTCAAATCTCCAGATTCGAGTTGGCTGATCCTCGAAAAAAAACTGCTGTAAAAACGTATAAAACTTTTTCCAATTTTTTCTAAGTGTCCTGGAACATAGTGAAGACACTTACATATGTCCTAATAATTTTGTTTCGTTTTCAAAGAAAAAGTCTTGAAAGTTGCTCTTGTCCAATTTGGCGTTTGACTGCAGATTTCTTTTTAAATTCAATTCGAGTTCATTTGCCGAAAGCATAACAAATTGTGCTCTCGACTGACAAAAGTTCCAATTAAAAGTTTTAAAAGTGCATTTTTTTCTAACTTCTCAGTGGAAAAAAACCTCATGAGCGAGTTTCTTTGAAAATTGAATTAGTTTTTTTGGAAGAAGAATGTAATTATGAAAGACTTACAAATTATAAAAGCTTTGACGTGACACATTTTTTGAATTTGAAATTTGAGTTTGAAAAAAACAATCATTTTTTTTTGGTTTCCGTGAGTTTATTTTACAGTTTTTTGTTGGTTATGTTTCAAAATGTCAACTGCATCATGAGTCTTTCGTCCTACTTCGCACTGCATCCGTTTACTCTGGTTTTTCTTTAAATTTGTTTCATTGTTCCATTCTTTACTCTCTACGTGACTTACAATTAAGAAGACAGGAAATAAAGATCATAATTCAAATAGTGAAGATTTTTTCAAAAATAAAAGTGGGATACGGCGAGTTTCTGCAATAAATTGAAATGAAAAATATGGAGTTATAAACACTTGCTTACGGATGAAGCTTTTCTTAGTTTTCATTGTCAATTTTGTCTAAATTTATTTTGTGTGTAAAGGTGATCGATTTTGCCAAATATTTCAATTTCTGTCACGTCAGTTTTTTAGCCTTTTTCTTCTTTTTTGTCAAAAATTTAATCAATGAAAAGATTTCAAATTTAAATCTGTTAATGTAAATAATGTTAAAATCCAAAATATGTTAAATCCAAGTTTGTACTCGGGGGAAAAAGATGCGTCATCTTACCACGCTTATTATATCAACTAAAATAGGTAACTAAATAATGTCTGCCAAATTGGTTCTACCAAATTTGACTTGCTACCCTGAAATTTGTAGGCCTTTTATCTTTGACGTTCAACTTAAACTTTACTGTCTTCTCACGAATACCTAGTGATTGCGAAGCTTTGAGAAACTTCTGCCAAAACCTGAGATTGTCAAATGTGACTGTTTCATGATTAACCACTAGTTTGCTTAATTTGTCTTTCGAGAATTTGTGATGTATTTTGATAGTTAGCTAGGTTTAGGTGCCTGGAAGTTCTGAGGCACAGCGAGATATTTTGATTGTGCTCTACTTTTCACTTTTGATCTCAAATTCAAAATCAACATCAGTGTCAATCTGTTGTATCAGTTCGCTTTGCAACATATATCCTCCCTCTAATCAAGTCAAAACAAAACGTCTCTTTATCGCTCGTTCTGACTCTCTTTTGATTTGTAGCAATCTAACTAGACTTTGGATGCAACCTGTTTGAATTAAACAATAAAAGATTAAGAAATAACTGAAAAGATGTTTGAAATAACTTACAAATTAGCTGTTACTTCTAACTGATTGAAGTGGACAACCAACTATTTGAACTAAATAGCTAAATATCTGCAGTCCCGCGGAGTTTCGAGGTGGGAGTTTATAGGGGGAGGTGTTTTTGTTTGTTTTTCTTAGTTTTTTGGGACCGAGAAAGTAAAATTCACTGCGCAACACCACGGCGGGAGGTTTAGATGTAGCGAAGAACTATTTCGACTTATCGATTTAAGAAGTGCGTAGCCAAGATTTTTTACTTGTAACATATGTTGTCATCTCTTATCGCCTTTGAAGTAATATTTTATCGGCACTTTTAAGTGGATGATAATTACACGCTAAACTATGTTTTTTTTTGGTGTGTGGATATTTCGCAATATTTCACCAGGCCAGCAGTAATGTCAAGTACTTATGAAGTGTGTGATCAATTTGCATATTTCCACACCTCTAGATCTCTTGAACTCTAAAGCGCAATCTTTCAAATCTGCTGTTTTAATATTTCTAATCATTTAAGAAAATGTTAAAATAGTTCATAAAAAGTTGTTTTGAATGGATTTTTAAAATAAAAAATAAGCTACCTTTTATTTAATTTTTAAATTGGAGCAAAAGTAAAATGAAACAAAATTCATCCTGATTTTAATTTTCTGGCTTTTTTTCTTAGCCGATTAATCTTGAAAATTGCCTTTAATTTGTACGTAGTAATGATCGAAGTGTTTTTCTCTTTTTTTTGCAGATTTGTTTTGGTGGTTTGACATTTGGTTTATTTGTAATTTTCTTTCAAAGTCAGTTTGGTTAAAGGAAACTAAACAAAGATAGTTGGTTGTTTCTTTTGCTCACGATGATAAGGGTAGCAAAATTTAAAAATTAGAAAAAGAAGAAAAAAATCTTTTTCTTTTTTTGAAACTTTTTACTGCTATTCCGAATAAACCGCAATTAAATTGTGTTTAAAATACTAAGAAATGATATAAAATAATTTTGCAATAGAATTCATTTGAGAGACAGTCTTTTTTTATGCAGTTGTAAATTCCGGGTCGTGTAGTCCGAAAACCGAAAATATACCTATTTTTCTCGACACAGTTTTTTTGAATTTTTTTATTAATCTCCAGTTACATCATGCATAAATTGCCCTTGAAATTCAAAGGGCCTGACAGTGACCTAATTTTTTTGAGAATCAATTTGCTTCGGTTTTCTTGATTTTTTTACGCTGTTCCAATTGCATGTGGCTTATGTTAGGAGAACTAAAACTGCAATTTTAATCATTTTTACTTATTTTTGGACGCTTTTGTGTCAAATTTCAGGTCTTCTATATTGAATTGCTTTTCTATAGTTCCCCCCTCAAGGATTCGACCCCATTTTTGTGCAAAAATTGGCACAAAATTGCTCCAATTTGGCTTGAAAACTGGCACAAAAATCTGTGTATTGTCTTGAAAAATAAACTTTGGCAAAAAAGTCCAATTTCTATCAGAAGAAATTGTATGACTAGCATTTTTTTCATTATGGCTTCAAAAACTTTTCGAGTAATTTCGAAAGCATGGGCTGATTTAGGGGGGGGGGGGGCGGAGCGTTCCTTCTTCAGGGATTCGACCCCCTGGATCCCCCTTTTGTACTAGTTTGAGATATCCATATTTGGTGACGGACCCTAAAATTTTTTCAAAATTCGGCGTCAAAATTTTCCTAAAAGTGCCTAAAAACGCTTTTTTTGGCTTGTTGTTAAGTTTTGTCTGCGGTGCAGAAAATGTGGCCCAAAACAGGGTCTTTTTAGTGATTTGAGAGAGCTCGGAAAATCAATTTGGTCGACCCAAAAAAAGTCGACATTTTCGAAAGTTTTTTGAAAATCCGCCCCCCCACTCGAGAAATTACTAGATCCGCCCCTGCGTACAGTGATAGTTGGACCGGAAAACCAAAATACATCAAACGCTACAGAGAAAATATTCATGTTATGGTGTTTCAGGAAAAGCGGTCCTTCTGGCGAGCAGTTGTTGCGTGAGCTGGGAGACACGTTATCCACAGGGATGGGAAGCAATGAAGACCCACTTCTAGTACATCTAGAGAGACAAAGTGGCCAATTGGCCGACAGATTGGAAATGGTCACCAAGCAGAAAGGGGAGAGTGAGAGGAAGGCAAAAGAGTTACAGACTCGCAATGAACAGTGAGTGAAGTTTTTGAAGCTTTGACATTTGGTCTTTATTATCTAAATTTACACATATTGATTACGTGTGCGATTTTTCGAACCTGTAGGTCAAACAATCGATTCATAGTGCTGCCCGGTTTTTAAAGGATGTTCGAAAGAATATTCAAATTAGCTGTGAAAGCTTTTTGGGAGGCTCGTTATTTACACTAGCAAACTTCAGTGAGCGTTAATGTAATAGTATGACTATTGTTTTTTTTTCAAGCTAAGGGGCAATGATGGGTGCCACATTTGGTGGCAACTTTACGGCTTTTTGGTACCATGTGCTTTGACATTCGAATAGTTATAAGTTAACACAGTTGATGCATTTTTAATTCATCAAATGAATCGATAAAAGCTATTTGTCTCAAACATAACAATAATAAAAACTTGATTTCAGAAATTTTTAAACTCAATATATCTTGAAATGCATGATTTGTGCACAATGTTGCTTCATGCTTTCCAGTTTAATATATGCAAAGTTAATGTGGATGCCTTCAGTTTGTAATATTCTAAATTATTACATGCAAATTGTGCATCCCATTGGCAATTTATTTGTATATGTAGCTGCTTTATATGTGACTAGTGTTTCCCGATTGTTAAGCGTTCGGGGCCGAGAGGGCAGGGCGTGAGTCTCCAACTCTCGAGGTTGCAGGTTCGAAGCCAATACCTAGCAAAGTTTTACTAATTCGGTGCTTATTTCTATTTTTTCTTGTTTCTCTTTATAAAGCTGGTTTTTGTCGTGTTCCCGCTAGTATTTGCGAAGCGCAGCTTTGCCTCTGTGTTAATTGGTGTGTTTTGTTCGGAAGTGGATTTTTTTGTAGATGAATTGGTTAAAAATTGCTTGTAGAATTCGCCATTTTTAAGAGTCGATGAACCAGTTCTGACTCTTATATAGGTCGTTATGATTTTTTTTGTCATTCTTCAGGCTCAAGTTATTCAGGCTCTCAGGTTTATTTTTTTCGCGGTTGGACTTTCGATTTCTTTTAAGTTCAGCTCATTTTCTTTGATGAAAGCAAGGCAAATTCTACTAATGAACAGAAAGTGTAAAGGTCACGAAAGACAAGATCAACTTCTAGTTTCGAATGAGGAATTTGGTTTTCAGATTCCCAGCGAAATAAAAAACTTACTTATTGATCCAGTCTTTTTAAATTGGGTTACTATTATTAAAAACGCGTCGATCAGAAAATGTTCTAGAAATCCAAAGAGCTGTAAGGGCATATATTTTTTCTTGGAAATTCTGAAGTTTTTTTTCGAGATTTTTTCATAAAACAAGTCAGTATTTTTTCTGTTTTCTCGGTTTCATTGACGCTTTTCCATTTCTCTGTCGGCTATGTATAGTAAATTATCTCTCATTTCTAAAAATTTGAATTGAATATTGTGCTTTGAATCAGTCAACAGGACATGATTACCAATTACATTATATTTAGTGCTCCCAAGGTATTTCCCTGAGATATTAAATAAATGCATAGTTTTTTCAACCGAAGTTATGGTTTACTCTTCGATTACTTCATGTGGTAGCTCATTCAAGAAGTTTTTGTTGTATTTTAAATGTTCAGATAGCAAAAATATCGAAGTTTTGGAGTTTTAAGTTTCACCTAAAATTGCCATTTTGATTAAAAGCAATTTTCAATTTTATCAATAAGGTGTTTTGTTACTGCTGCCCAAACATGAAATTTTGATAATTTCTCATCAGTATATACAATTTGTCGCATTATTAGTTTCGTCATGTCTTTCATGACTCGGTTATGACTGTCGGTTTTCTGGTTATAACTTGGTGAGTTATTGAAATTTGATACCGTAAATGGACCTCGAGTACTAACTTCTAGTGGTACAGCAGTAAAGTCAGTCGATTAGTAAGAGAGTCTAAAAAGAGTTGGAGACTAGCATGATCAGAAGAACTCTCTTATTGAAAAACTAGTAATGGTCTAATTAATTAACACCTGTGTTTTTGATCTACGGCGGCACAGTTTGTGATAACACATAGGTGGACCGCCTCTTAAAATTGAAAATACAAAGCGAAGTGCGGTTTGCTTTCGGATCTGGAGTTGTTTTAAATTTGGACTGAAAATTACTTTCTCTTACTCTTGAGTGGGTCTAAATGTGTTTGAGAACAAAGCGCCAATTTGTTGAGTAAATGAGCCTAAAGCGCAACGGTTTAATAGTCGCAACAACGTCTCAATTGAATTCGGTAAACATAATGGCATAGTAAACATTGGGTGTTGTTTTTGTACCCGTTTGAAGTTCTAATTCTGAAGTAGAAGTGTACTGCCCTATACCGCCCAGTGGTCGAAAATGATTTCAACAATGAAATTTTATTCCAATGGCTTAAAATTTTCACATCAATTGAAATGTTTCCTGGTTGAATAGATTTTGAATAGATAGAGTTGAAGTTTTTAAATGAAGGGGATGATTTGAAACAGGTGGTTAATTATTTTCAGAAAAACCCAATAATACCCGTAAAGGTGAGAGAGAAAATACTAAAACTAAACCTAGTCACCTTTAGCTAACATTCATTAATCGATTCCCAATCAAACAGACAATTCGTTAGTCGAGATTCTATATAGCTCATCACGCTCTAATGAGGATGAAAATTGATATAAAACAACTCTAAACTTTCATTAACCTATTTGCTCATTAGTTTACTTCATTTTATCAAGTTCTTGAATCATGTTTCTCGTTTATTCTCTGAAGTTGTATTATTTTCTGTTTTTAGATTAGAGAGGCTGGTCACTGTACTGAGGAAGAAACTCTCCGAATCAAATTCCGAATCACCCCCTCCCCCAAATCACTTTTCGCAGCTCAACCCCCTCCCCCCAAACTCCTCAATGCAGAACACGACATACCCGATACCTGAATCGTTCTATTATAGCAATCGTGAGAACCTTTCAATTCCCAACGGATATCCATTGGGCTTCGAGTCTGAAGACCAAAGTTATCAAAACATACCCAGTTTTTATCCCAAATTGGAACCAAACTACCCTTCGAATATGTATACATATCAGCAATCACAACAAGATCCTTATCCAGAAATGACAACAACCTCGATGACGAGTGAGCTTCAACAAAATTACCCGCAGAATTCAGTCTCAAATCAAAATCCTAATCTAACAGAAGGCTATTTTAATAGAAACAGAGCGAATGCGGTAGATAGTAAAAATCAGTCACAACTTTATTACCAAGATGATACTCTTTCCCAGATGCAATTGTACCAACAGAATCGAAATCTTGAGGAGGTACATGGCGATACTAATCATGAGGATCTCCGAAAGGATCCACTTTCGTTCAAGCCTGAATCTTCAGAGCAGAACTCTCAGTCTGGTTTTAGATTGCAATCGCAACATTAGAGATTAGAAAGCTCTTTATTTAATTACTAACATAATGAATTGATTTTACATGGGGAATTCGCTTGAAAAGTTATATATAGAATCGGGTTGGACTGTTTTCGTGGAAACTTGTAGGTATCGAAGTAGCCTTTTACTAGCCATTTTTAACTCATTTTTTGCAGTGTTAAAAAGATAGAATTTTTAAAGTTAATTTTCTAGAAGGGCAATTTGGTGTAAGATTTTTTTTTGTTATTTTTAATGGTTATGTATGATCTTTTGTAAATTGGGAAAGGCTCATTTTGTTACCATTGTATATTCGATTTATAATTGATATGAATTCTAATGTTTGTTTTTTAAACTGAAGCTGGAAAAGGTATTTTTATCCGGGATCTCAGCAAAAAGTCTAGGTCCTTCCTCGTCCGTTTTCGTAAGTGTTGGAAATACACCAATATTTTTTTCACGGTTTCGGCTTTAAATTCTTAAGATTTCTGTTTTTATTTTGCTAGCATTGAAAGATTTCTTGGACCAGAAGTATTGCATTTCATGATTGTGTTTGTTTCAATCTTCTGGACCAGGGTTTTTTATGTTTCATTATGATGTATGTTTGTGGCATCAAATCTAATTGTAATATTCAGTGACGTTTGAAAACGGACCATATGATCTAATGGTTTTCTCTCATGCTTGACACCGGGGTATAATTTAAAAAAAACTTTCTACTTGTCTGATTGTGAGCCTGAAAACAAATTATTGTTATTATTTATAAATCTAATTGTAATATGGTAACTATTACTAATTAGGAATGTTGTTCGTGGTTGTTCAACTATGTCTGATATTCTCTTCTGTCCTTCAGCCATGTGATCTGTGCCCTCTCTCTGTCTCGCATGTTTAATGAGCTAACTGTGCCATTTGTGCTTCATGGGTTGAGTAATTAGCCCTGTGTTTAAACATACTACCCAATGTGTATCCTGCTCACATTTTTTGTTGATTCCCCCCATAAACCCACCGTGGATGACTTTTTTAAGTTATATTGGTATCGGAGCCCAGTGTAAATTTGATATCTAAACTATTCAAAGTGTACTCTTTACACTTTTCTGTTCTAAATAGTCTCTACCATGGCAGTTATAATACAGCTAAAATAACCGCCATCACCTATTTAATTTAGTTTCACATATCAAAACGTCATCTCAAACACGATCTTAACTTTCTTGATGACTGCCGCAGTCTTACTTCTTCCCCAGGGTTGCAAGTAAGTTTGAAGTATTCAACTTCTTCGGTTTTTTTTTGCAATTTGAGTCTCGAACTTGTAATCCGATAATTTGAAAGTTTTGCACTGAAAACAGTTTTATCTTTTTCAGTTTCCACTGCTGTTTTTTGACGCGATAAAATCTCTCAAACTTTCAAACTACACCTAGAAAACCTTTGCTACTTCAATTGAATTTTCCATGGTTTTTAAATGGTTTTTTATAAATTCATATTTCTAGAGTGATGTTTTTTTTTCAAATATGTTTTTATCGGCTCTGTTTCCGCATGCTTGTTAGGCTATAATTTTTTTTCAAATTTGAACAGAGCTGGCGACATAATGATAACAAAAATGATCAAATGTTGAAGTAGGCTATTTTTTGAAGTAGGCTATTTTTTGGGTTTTCTCTCCCATGTTCTGGCCTAATTGACCCATTTATTACAGAAACTTGTGACGTAGATTGGTGAAAAAAATTGGACAGAACTTAAAAAACAAGCATTCTCTGTGTAATTACAATAGTGAGTGAGCTTTAGTGAGCATAGTGTAATACTACGACTTTTCTTTTTTTTTCAACCTAAGACGCAAATATAAATATTGGTGCCACTTTTGGTGGCACCTTTACGGCTTTTTGATAGCATAGCCATCGATTAGTAATTAGTTAACATAGTTGATGCATTTTTAAATATTCGAAGAATCGAAAAAAGCTATTTGTTTCAAATAACAACAATAATAAAAACTCGATTTCAGACATTTTCTAACTCAATATATCTCGCAACTTTTTGAAATGCATAATTTATACATAATGCTGCTGCTTTGTGCTTTGCAATTTATTACATGCAAAATTGTGTCTTTTCGTGTTTGGTACCACTTTTGCGGCATTGCATTGGCAATTTATTGGCTTATGTAGCTACTTTTTTTGCGACTAGTGTTTGCCGATTGCTAAGCGTTCGTGGCCGAGAAGCCAGGGCGTGAGACTCCGAATTTTCTTTTTTTTTAAACTTTTTTCTTATTTGACTTTATAAATCTGCTTTTCGCCGTATTTGCTAGTGTTTGCGAAGCGCATCTTCGCCTCTGTGTAAAAGCGCAGCTTCGCCTCTTAAATGTTGATTATCCGGACAAAACGAATGAAACTTGAAAATTAAATCGGTTTTTTCCTGATTTGGGTTGAGTGAAAATACGATAGGGATGAATATTGCTGAGAAGTTTAGCAAAATTATTATTGTGCAAATTTATTTCACGAATTTCGGGCCCCAAATTTTACACCAAAAACTTTCAATCAAATGTTACGCTAAAACTATCGTTTGAATTGCTAATAGTACTGTATCAAATTGAACAGCTTTATATAAAGCAACAAATTTTAACACGGGTCTAATCTCAGAAAAATTTGAGTGACATAAATAGATATTTTGTATGGTAAAAATTACAATTTTTGGCTATCAAATAAATAAATTTATTTATAATAATTTGAGAAGAATCTGCTCTTTTTAAACTTTCTTGGGCTAGATAGGAAACTCACTGTGATGCAGGTTTACCACAACAATTGAACCGGTAGTTTCAAAGTAAATATAATTGACTAAAAAAAGCCGAAAATGATCCGTTTTTGGGGCAAATTTCGGGCCCGATTTTTGCTGTACAAGTTGCACGATATCAAATCTGCTAAAATTGTAATCAAGTGATCTCCACATCTTTTCCTGTCTATATCCAACCTAGTTTGAGGTTTTTGTACAGATAATTATTTAATCAGCACTAGCGCATTCTTTGCTCTCTGGTTTTTGTATTGGACTGTATTTGAAAGGAGTTATCTAGGGATAAACCCCTTGGTCCGGATAAGCCCCTTGGTCCGGATAAAGCTTGTGATTTAATGTGAAACCAAATTTTTCCAATACGTCGCACATATCTTTTTTGAATTATGTTCAGAAAAGTAAAGTCCAATCAGGACTATTTTGAATTAGCTCGAGCCTTGTGTGCTCAACTAATTTGCTCTTTTTATTGTCTGGTTTTTAAGAGTAATAAACGTAGTGAAGACTCTTATAAAGGTCCTGCTGATTTTTTTTTTTTTTCAAGAAAAAAAGTCTTGAAATATTGATGCACTTAGGTATATATGCACTTTTTGAGTTCAATTGAATTTCATCTTCTAAAAGTGACGTAAATAGCACTCTCCAAATATGAACGTGGAAATGGCGTCAAAAACGTGAACGGTTTCTAGTTTCGAAAGTGGAATTTAGTTTTTAGATTTCCAGCGGAATAAAAACTTTACCTGTTGATCCAGTTTTCTCCAGTTGGGTTAAGGTTGTCAAAAAAGCGCCAATCATAAATCGTTTAAGAAATTCAAAGAGTTTTAAGGGCATCTATTTTTTTCTTTGAAATTCCAAAGTTGAGAATTTTTAACAAAGTCAGTGTTTTTTTTTTGTTTACTTGCGTTCATTACTCTTTTCCAATCTTCGATTGGGTATGTTTTATTTAAGTGCAGCAATTGGGAGAATTTGAATTGTTACGAGAAGTGATTGTGTATGATGATGCATCTTGTGGGCATGATTCCCGTGCGTTCGAAGTTTTCTGTCTTGAGCCTTTTTGTCTTTGAAGTTTCACTTTTTTTATTTAAGTGTTAATAGTTTAAGTGTTTACAAATTAATGCTTTCAAGTAGTAGTAAAAGGTAAAGAGCTGTAAAATATTTAGTTCTCCTTAGTGACGGTGCAATAGTTTTTCCCCGCCCGATGTTTTTCCCCATTCAAACCTGAATATCGCAAGTAAACCTCAGATAATATCAGATTATAAAGATGTGATCTCGGATGCAGTGAAAAATAGTAAAACATGTTATCAGTGTCAATGAACGTAGTGAAGACACTAATGTATAACTTGATGATTTTTATAAGGAAAAATCTTAATTTTTGTTTTTGCCGTTTGAATTTCCATTTCCTTCTTAGTTCAGCTCAAAATGATTTGCTAAAGCGGAATTTGCGTGAAAATTGTGAATACTACTAGTATCGAAAGTGGATTTTAATTTTAAGAATTTTCAGCGGAATAAAAAGCTTACCTTTTGATCCAGTTTTCAACAATTGGCTGAATTTTATTGAAGAGATCTCATTCATATATTATTTTTCAAATTCAAGAGCTTCAAGGCCATATAGTTTTTCTGTGAAACTTCGAAGCTTAAGTTTTGTTTCAAAAATCAAGTCTGTCATTTTTTGTACTTTCCTTGTTTGCATTGGAACTTTTTCAACTGTCTCTTGGCTGTGTTTTTATTTTAGGATAGAAAATTTCCATTTTGTTTTTTTTATTGCACTCATTGAGTTTTTTTTGAAACATGGTGCTAATAGCACATGCAATAGCTATTCTTGTTTTGATTTAAACGTATCTTGAGCTTAAGGTGTTTCTGTTTTTATGCTTGCAATCAGCTGAGTGTGTTATTATGAACCTTTTTTTTCTAACCTGACTCACAAATAAACGTGTTCATTAAAACTGTTCTCTTATTTGTAAATTTCACTGTAGCATTGGAAATTACATAGCATCTGTTCTGTTTTATTCGTGGCTAGTGTTTGGTGTCTATGAAGCTTCCGTGGCTGCGTGGGTAGTGTGTGAAACTCTAAACCTCTAGGTCGGAGGTTCGAATAACAGAGGTAGTCGAATTTTTATTAATTCGAGGCTTATTTCTAATTTTTATTATCTCGTGCTGTAAGTTTTTTTTTCTTCCCCTCTTGTGGTAATGACTGGACCGCAACTCACTCTGTGAGGGGGAGTGCAGCTTGGAAATCAGGACACCCGACCATGCTATCAAATCTTACCATTGCGCGTTTTTTGAAATTTAAATGGGCTCCTGTGCACGGTCCTTATTAATCCCTTATTCATTTTTTTAAAAGAAAAAAATGTATTTTTATTGCACTTTATAGAGCGGTTTTTTGTCGTGTTCTCGCAATTGTTTGCTAAGCGAAGCTTCGCCTCTGTTTTGTTAAAAATATGCTCAATATGTAGAATCGAAGAATAGAAATAGAATAACAGAAAAACTGTTGATTTATTGAAATGTGAGCGCTTTTTTAAGCTTTTTCCTGTTTTTTTTTTATAAATCTCGGTGAAATTCTTGGAATTATTTTCCGATGATGATTTTGTGTTTTGCTAGAGAAAATAGTTTTTTTCTAATATTTTTAAATTTCCAGTGAAATAGAAAACAGATTCTTATCAGAAAGATTACTGGTACAGGCCAAGAGTCTTCATAATCATTCTCGTTTTTTCTTGGGAAGTTACCGGGTGAATATTCAGGAAAAGGCCGTAGCCCCAAATGGACTTAATTAGCCAGTACTTTCTCGGGCAATTTTGTGAGGATTTTTATTCAGTACAGTTTGAGAGTACCTTGTGAGTTCCTTTTAGAATTGAAACTACCCTATAACTCGTGTCGATATATCGGCTGTCTCCGAATTTCACATACTGGCTGAAATTGACACATAGAAAAAAGTTTTTTTTGGCGTTTTTTAACAGCTTTAAATTGTCGACTGCTTTGGTCTTCATCAAATTAAATAGTCAAAAGTTTGCTCAGGCAATATACCAAACGGATTATTTAATCAGTTTTATTTAATTATTTCTCATCGTCATTCCTACGTTTGTGCTGGTTCCATTGAGAATTCATTTGATCATTTGAGTTTGAGTTTTGAGTCATTTGGCATCTAGTTTGATAACATGAAATTAACAGATGGTAAACTGCAGAAAACTTATAATTGCTTCTCTGTCAGTTTCTCAAATATTGTTGAGAATTTGACTTTGAGTTTCTCATTCGGTTCATTTTACCCGACTTGGACTCTGTTTGCTCTGTTTGTTTCGTTTTGCATTCGGTTCCCCCATTACTCTCGTGGTAGTTACGTGATGTTGGGGTAAAAGGGTCGCTCCGAATATTTGCTCTAGATTGGGGCTCTATTTGCTAGCCTTCGTTTTCCTGTGGCTTAAAGGCGCTCTTCTGTTTGCCACCGGATGATAAACTTATTTGACTTTGCCCCAACGCAAACAGCCCAAACTAAACCATTCACTAGGTATTAACTTAAGCCATACGTACCACATCAATTTGTGTGGAAACTTTTATTCTGCTTTACTACTTTACGGACTAGTTTATAACTAACTACTAACTAATGGTAAAACTAATAAACTAACCATTTTATCGCGTTTTACTGCGAGCTATTTTACCATTGCTTTCACTGCCAAAACTACCTAAACTGCACGTTAAAATTTATACTTAAAAGGGGAGGGGGTTGAAAGTTGAGTGAGCGCTGAACACTTTTAGTTCTGAATGATGCCCATTTTGAAAATGTTTTGGTTGGTTTGGTTACTTAGTTAGTTGGTTCAACTAATAGCCCAGCACAAGTTAATTAAACACGACATCTAGATTGTAAACAAGGCCACGGCTGAATATTGCACACCTGAAACTAAATTGTTGACGACCTCAAGGTTGTTTACTACTTCGACGTTTGTGATGTAGGATGGATCGATTTCCTAAATTGGACTTCTAAAAAGTCATCAATTAGTTAACTGAATTTGTTTATGCTTTTTATATAGGTGTTTTTTTGGTAGTTTATAATGTTTTCTATCAAGGTCTTTTATTGTGGTGGAAAAAACTTCAAAATATCCAGATATCCGTAAACGAACTTGTTTGTTCAATTTTGTTTATTTTGCCGGTGTTAAACTTTTTTTAGCGTTGTATAATATAAGTTTCGATATCGAGGCTGAAGACGTTTGCTTAGCAGGTTTTGCTTTGGAGAAAAACTTCTTTAACACGTGTTGAAAATGTGAAATATTTGGACTGACGCTGATCAAACTTGTTTGATCAAGGTTAAAACTTTTTCATCCTCCAAGAAAGCAAAACGTGGCTATACTAATTCCGAACCAGGTCTCTTAGATGGAAAAAATTCCTTCCCTTTGAACTGTAGCCTATTTTTTTTATCGCGCTGTTGTACTTCAATTTGCAACAGCAGTGATCTAAAAACTAAAAATCCTAGGCTACTCAGCGCACGCTTATTGATTTTAAACGTCCCCCTTCCAAATTAACAAACAATTTGTTGTTTTAGCGTACTCCTTTCCCATCCCCGTCAAAGACAACAGATATTTTTACAGTCGCTCAAATCGCTATACTTGTACGATTTGAAGTCAAGTAGATTTGAAGTGGTCTTTGAATTGATTGTGGGGGTGTTTTTTGAAGTGTATTTTGGCTTGGGGCTGGAAGGGCCAAATTAGCAGGGCATATCTTTACATATCTAAGTCTATTGTTGTCAGAGTTCAGCTATAACTGTTTTTTGTCGGGCGGGCCGTTTCGACATTTCGAGTGCTCTTTGAACTTGAAAGTATGTTGGTGTCGGAACACCAATCGCTTAACTTAAATCTTATTTCTCACATTTTTCAATTGCCGGGATTAGCTTGAATTACAAGCAAATCGAACTTTAAGTCTATTAACGCAGCAGGATATCACACCGAATGTAAAAATAGTTCATATCTCTGAATTTTGAGTCCCAAAATATATTTCCGAGTTTTACCCCCGAAATCCACGCAACATCACAGAATTGCAATCCCTCTTAAATCTACCTTGTTTGAGGTGCCAACTGCGTATTAATACCTTGCAATCAAATTCACACAAATTTTTATTTGTTTGTGAATTAAGCGATTCGGTATGATAATTATGTCGAAATATATACCTTGATCTTGTGCATTGTTTTGCATCATAAACAGCAAGGGATCAAATTTGAACATACCTCAGTGTTTAAAAATCGCTAAAAAAATATTGAATTGAAAAGATCAAACAACACTTTCTTAAACTATTTTTCGCTAGTTGAACATTTTTTGGATGTTTGTTTTTTGGACTGTATAACACCAGGTAAAAAGACAGAATGTCTGAAATTAATTTGATTTAAAATCTCGGCTTGTTTGTTTTTTCTAACAGGACTGAAGCTATGTAACTGAAACTGGTGCATCTTTGCAAGCCGATAAAATGTCTCAAGAATGTAAAAAATTGCTGAAGTGATTGATTGTTGCATGAGAAGAAATCAAGATTATGCGATGGAATGGACGCTAACTGAATTTTCAGTTTACTTCTAAATTTGGCATCTGTTTTGTGGCCCCTTAAAGGTTCCCTTTCAGCGCTCGACTAGCGGCATTTTCGAGGTAGACAGATTTGGCGGGCTTCAAAGAAATCGAATGCTCAAGTTTTGCCGTCTCTTTGTAACGGAAGTTTCTTCGATTAATTTAAGGGCACGCGCGTTCAATCTTGTTGCACAAAATGTCCTGTAGTCATACATGGTTCGATGTAAGCTGATTTTTTCCAGGGCTCGAGGTCGGGTAGAAATTTGTGGGAAAAGTTTCGATCGACAGGAAGAAGTTTCGATTCGCAATTTCAATTAAGTGATAAAAAGAGATGTAAGTGATAAAAAATTGGAGATGCGGGGCATCGATCCCCGTACCTCTCGCATGCTAAGCGAGCGCTCTACCATTTGAGCTACATCCCCTTGGAACACAAGAATGAACTGTTGGTTTTGAACGAGTCCAAGACAGATCAAATTCACCTTAGAATGAATTGCATTGGATTTGAGAATCGAATGTTGTTTGAGAAGATTAAGAACCAATTCCGTTCCAAAAACAATCGAAGGCCAATTCGAAAGCAATTTAATTTTGTCGTAAAAATTGAAGGTATAAATAGGACAGTTGGTTCCTAAAATTTAGATAGGCTTTTGAAGAACATTTTTCTCCCTAAAATTATCGAAACAGTAAAAGTATGGGCTCTTTTCCAGTTCCCCCCCTTTCAAAATACCTAGTTTCATATTTGTTTTACGTGTTATTACGGCTAAATGCGTGATTTTACGCTGTAAAGTATGAAGAACAAATCTGTTCAGAATTGTCGATTTGTTCACCACGCCAAATTTCATTGCATTATGACAACGTTAAATATACTTTTCAAAATTGAATTGGAAAGGGGGGGGGAACTGGAAAAGAGCCAAAGTATGTTTATTTGTGTTTTTTTTTCTAAATTATTTTCATAAACCGTGGGAGCGAGAGCCATCATGTTTCATACTTGCTTTTTTAGGGACAACCCAACTGTTGAAATTTTATCAAATTTAAACTCAAAAGAAGTTTATATTTATAAATCATGTGCGGTTGTGAAGGTAGAACTTTGGTATTGGCTCCCTTTACCTTCCCGGGAAAAGCAATTATGAAAAATGGGTTCGACTATTTGCTAGAATGAAAATTGGAGACTAAAGGTCACCCATTAGCTCCAATCCGAAGATCTGAAAGCCTTAATTTTTCTTTTAAGTGTAAAAGAACGAAGTGATTTTCACTTATATAGGTCTTGATGATATAGGTGTATTTTTTCTTCGAAAATTGAAAAACGTTTTTTTTTCGGCTTCATTGTTTTTCAAACCGTTTCCAATTGACAGTTGGCTATGTTCACGGCCGTTAGTTCCATCGGTTTTGCCACTTCATTCTTCGAAAATGTGTTGAAAACTACCGAAAGCTGAACATCTGTCAGATCAAATGAAAAAGCACGAAATTATTTTCAAAACCTGTCTATTTTAATTTTGTTTAGATCGCGCAGAACTTGAAAATTTCGGGGGAAAATGGTTGAACCCAAGTTTCATGAGGGATCGCAATTCTTTGCTGATTCCTTGGGATCGCACAGATCAAGTAGTGTTAACATGAAACATTTTTGTCGAAATGTTTAAACACTATTTTGACGTTTTTTCTTCATTTTTTGTTCTGCCGAGCTAGTATCGCCTGGTGGTCTCAAATTTGATTGGATAAAAAGATTACGGGTGAATAAATATTGAATTTTTTCAAAGTTTTTCAACCCAAATTGGCTATATTATAGAGGAACAAAATTTATTTAAAGTACTAAAACTAAAAATACTATGACAGAATGGAATGAGCAGAGATGGTCGGAGCATCCGAATGAACAAGTTCGGAACATTCTGAGCAGAAGATAATCACATTAGAATATGGGGGACTTAATTGAAATGAAGTTAAACTGCAAGTATAAAATGGGTTAAGTTATTTTGGTCATCCATCGATCAGAATTTCTGACAAGCAAAGCGCCTATATAGGAATTATAGCTATAAAGCAGAGGTTAAACTATAGCTCCATTTCATAAGGACAAACGATAATTTTTACGTTACTAAAAGAGAAGCTAAAAAACGTAATAAATTAGCACCGACCAATTTATAAATAAAGTCAAAAATATAAGGACACTTTCAATCAGAAAATAGGATTAAGGAGAGCTAAAGAGATTTATTAGAGAAATGTCGAGTTTTTTTATGAATTTTTGTATTTTTGTGCTTCTTTTGGCTCTGCGTTTTGGTCCAGGGCAGTTGAATTGTTTTTGTGCATATCAGTTTTTTCTGGGTGTTTTTAGTAGCTGTTGGTGTTGAGAATTTGTGGCCCATTAGTCGTTGCAGGAATAGAGTTGAAAAAAGCATTCGAGGTCGCAACTGGCGAAGACACGCAGCATTGCGTATCCTGTGACGTAACTAATGACGTAACAATTGAACTGTTACATAAGGCTGCTCCACTCTGAGACAATCTTTGGTCCAGAGAAACTGTTGTCGGCGCACACCCGATCGGACTGGAGGCGTTGCCGGATCCGTTCACCGCGACGACTGAGTTGGTGGGACTTCCCGCGGCGCCATTTTGGTGATTCGGCTGCGACATTAGGTGTCCGTTTGAGACCCGAGAGTTAAACGAGGTCTCGTTGTGAGATGTCGGAGCTTGTGCGATGAGAGAATCGAGTTCGTTTAAGTTTGAATTATGTTGTTGTTGGACTTGAGGCATAATTGAAGCAGCAGCGATGTAGGAATTATAGCCCATTGAAGGGTTTGAAGAGTACATATGTTGGGAGCTCGCATTTGTTTCGTATTTGATTAAGTCCGCATGCTGATTCATTCCTAGAAAGTGAGGGTTCTGCAGAAGTTGAACCGACTCGTGAGACGCAGCGGAGGAATCTTTCATGATGCTGGATATGGAAAAGGCGTTGGTGGCGTCGCTTTTGAGAGACGCGAAGTCGTTTGCAGTTCCGCTTGCCATGTATGCCATGGAAGGTAGAACCCCAGTTACTGGGAAAAGGGGTCCCAACATCGAGGAAGCGTCGTGAAGATACGTCTGCCCGTTGGCTCCGAGAGCGTTTTGAACCGAAACAGCCGAGTGCATCAAGTCGCTGAGACTTTGCTGTTGTTGCTCGGATCTCAGAGCTGCCGAAATCAAGTCAGTTGTGTTGTCGTGGTTCTCTTGGTGATGTGAGTTGCCATTGCCGTTCGTCTGTTGGTGCAAAAGAGCTCTGGTCTCAGCTGCGGCTTGAGCCGGCGAGATGTGACCTGCACCCGAAGAATTGAGATTCGGTGCGCCGATTTCAGTCGGCGAGTTTCCGAGACTCCTGTCATTGGCCCCGTATCCGTTCATGCCTCCCGGCGAATGTACGTACGCCTCGGGACTAAATTCTTCGTCTTCTTGCTTCATGTTGTGATCCATGTCGTCGTAAACTTCGTGATTCGGGTCGACCTCTTCTTTGATGTCTTTATTTTTCTTACTTTTCTCCTTTTTCGCCTGTTTCTTTTCGTCTTTGAATCTTTTCTGCCGTCTGAGATAGCACCCGTTCTCAAACATGTTACCAGACTCCGGATGGAGCGTCCAGAAGGATCCCTTGCCAGGTTTCTCAGGAGTTCTGGGAACCTTTACGAAGCAGTCGTTGAATGAAAGACTGTGTCTAATAGAGTTCTGCCATCTTTGCTGGTTCTGGCGATAGTACGGGAACAGTTCCATGATGAAGGAATAAATGTCGCTCAAAGTGACCATCCTATTTGCAGAGTTCTGAATCGCCATTGTGATAAGTGAAATATACGAGTAAGGCGGCTTAGCGTGGCTCTGACTGTAACTCCTTCGGAACTTGTCGGCTTGATTCGGCGATGGGAGGTTAGCTCGTCCTCGATGAGTGGGCGACGTCAACTGGTAGATCGAATCCGCCGCTCGCCCGTAGTCGACATAACTAGCCGGATTGAACGCGGTGTTGTAAGCTGCGGCGGCCATCGGCGGCACACTGTACGGAGAGTTGAACGGCATTTGGGGAATAGACGAGGCAGCGGCGGCGGCGTTGAAACTGGCGCTGCTCATGTAGTTGCCGATCTGTCCGCCCGCGAGTCCCGCGGCTGTTCCGGCGGCACTCTGCATACTGGCGAAACTAGGGTACGCACTCATGGCATTGGCGTAGTTTTGCTGGGCTTGAGCGGCGGCGGAGCCTACCGATGATGCATGGCCTGCGGCGGCCATGTTCATCTGGTGGGTGTAAGAGGATCCCCCCATGGAACTGGGAAGCATGGAGGTGTAACCGTCGAATGTTGTCATAATGGTGTTATGATGGTTCTGAGGTATGTTTGCTGGAATGGTGTTATCAGGGAATGGGTAAATGATGGGCGGTGAAGGACTTTATTTGTGTTGAAATCGCAGAAGACAAAGATCTATTTGCTGTGAGAAAACTCGACTTTTATTGTTTTACTCTCTTTCCAGCAATAAAACAAACTTTTCAATCAAGTCAAAATCAATGATTCGGTTTGATTAGCTGTGGAATTGTTTGTCAGAGATTGACTAACTTTAACTTGGATTGCTTGCTTACTTTCAAATGCAATGATGGATCTTTCTCAGTTTGCTCTTCGAGATGTGAAGTTTGCCCTTATCCAATCAAAATTGACTAGCTGCTTCTAGCAATCTAATTGGCTGCTACTAAGTGCGCACTGCTTTTACGTGCTTTGCTTTAGAGACTTTCTTAGCTCGATATATTTTTGCTTTGTTATACAATTATATTGGATTGAATATATTTTGATCGAATAGGCGTAGAGATAATATTATTAGCGTAATCGTTTAATGATTTTTTCGGTCCAAATGGAATCAGGGATTGTAATCTGGTGCGAAAGTCGGGCGAGGATGAAGATTCCTTTGATGGTCGGAACAAATGTTTCTTTTTCAAAAGCAAAGTGACAAAATTGAATAAAAGTCTCGACAGACAGAGAGAAAGAGATATATATGATCTTGAGCAAAGAATCGGGGCAGGAAAAGGAGGGAAACGGAAATAGAACTTCAAGGGGGAGGTGGGTTGGTCTTTGATGGAATAGAACCGCTGATTCTCAGACGATGATGAAGAACTACGAAAGAATCCCGACAAAAGACGAGACGATTTGAAATAAAATAGAAAGTACAATGATAATACCTTAGATAATACATATAGTACAATACAGTATAGAGTATAGGATCTGAGATCGGAAAGACTAGTTATTTATTATAACTTTTATCATCTCTTCTCTTATCATGGTCAGACAGGGTTACCATCGTCATCATTATCATCATCATCATCATCTATTGTGCTATGATTTGGCATAAAGTTTATCATGCTGAACTGATTATATCTGATGTCAACGTCATGTATTATGCATATGATCTTTGATCCGATTGTAATTGTTGCAGCATCATCATAATTGCTGTTCATAATTAAAACAGCTATAAAAACCCATTGTATATAACATTGACATCTTTTGATTTCGTCCATATATTTACACTTATAATGGTAATACTGTTCAGTTCTCAATAAGCAATGATGGAAGGGTGATGAATAATGATTAATATGTATGGCCTCATGGCCTTGTGCCCATGGGCGAGGGGGTCTTGGGTTTCGGATCTCAACCATTCACTGCCAATTTGCTACCTTGAAAATAATAACTACACCTATAATGAATCAGTGATTAAGTATATGCGGATTTTGTACCTTTTAAAGAAATATCCTGATTGCGGGGGGTAACTGATCCTGATTTTTAACTCTTTCTTAAGTTACGTGTTCATTACTTTTTATCTGACTTCCTTCGAATAATCAAATAATCACAATGGTCGCAATATCGATCATTAACATCATCCTTTTTGTTCGACCTTTTTCGGTCTCAGAAATAGCCGATGTCTTGACTCTGCTTAGAACTCATGATGATCGATCTCAAATCTCAGAAACAGTACTGTTGCAGATTCTGCGACAATACTTTTTCCAACATTGTCGCTGAATCCACAAACAATTCGAAAGTGTACAATTTATGGCCTCGTTATGATCGAACCCCCATACCTTAATACTTATACTTTGACGATTGGAAACCCAATATTTCATACTGATCGCTTTCTGAATGTTTAAACGAGACTTCAAAGGGAGAGATTATGAAGGGGGTTCGATGAGTTAGACGTCCAGTCACATCCGCCTTAGTCTTAACTTAATCTGCAGAGCAAATTCAAAGGCAGAGTCAAATAAAGAAGCAAAAGCGAAGGAACAATTTCATCGAGCCACCATTCAAATATATAGAGACGTGAATCTGAAATGTTGGGTTTACGGTATGAAGAAACACTGTCAAATTACAGATTTTCCAAAGACTAATTGAATCGAAAGGTGTGAAAACTCTACCACATAAGTGTTTTTACACTTCTGTTGAGCATGGAAGCTGAAATTAGATTCACCATCGAGCTCATCAAAAGTTTTGAACCGTAAACATTTCAAGAAAAACAAATGTTTTTAATTTTATTTTAGAAAAATGTTTTTAAAAAACGAAATATTTAAAAAGATTCTGTCTGCAACAATCGGCACTCGATAAGAACTTTTTACATATGAGTCCATTGAAAAAATAACCTGTCTTTTTTTGCAAATAACAAATCTAAACAATTAGAGCCTGTTTTTGTTATCTTTTCTTTTCAATTCATATAGTGGTTGCTTTCAAAATTCACAAAATCGGATTGAAATTGAACTTTCTGAACAATCTGAGATGTTCGATTGTTTATACAAAATACTCTTGGAGTTGGATTTTCTTTTTTTTACGACTGCAGAACATTTTTATGGCGTTGCGAACAAGGTTAATTCTCTGCACAGATTTGAGACAGTGAAGTGTTTGGGAGGCTGTAAAAAAGAACCCCCTTTTAGGGCGAGGCGAGAGGGGTGGAATCCCAAAGTGGGTCAAAAGGGCAATGCTGTTGTAAAGTGTGAACAGAATTTCAGATCGCCCCACTCCTCTTTTACGCCTCACAGTTAGCTCAATAGTGATTCTGGGTCAATACAAATGTGGGCATAACCCCCCTCGCCCCTTTTATATTTCGTAAAATAAACCTCCGAATAGCATAAAACTCGTTGCCCCCGCCCTAAGAAATGAAGGATTTCCAAAGATCAGGATACCAATTACCAATCATTAATTGCAATCCCAATCGAACGAAAGTTCTTTTTCTAATTATCGCTTTGAAGCAATATCCATAGAAGTATTTTATTTTGATACAGAGTATTCTAAAGTGACAACACAAGTGCTATCTCTAACGGTGTCTGGCTTGTTGAAATAATACACTTTCAAGTTAAACATTCTCCAATTTCTTTTCTCTTTAAACTTTTTGATTTGTCAATTAAAAAAAGAACGTGTTTCTTTTTTCAAAGTTGGCTAATTGATCGACAGATTTTTGAAGCTGACTTTGTTTTAATCAAACAACTGTTTTGAAAGTCAAACGTGTGTGAAATGTAACATTTTGATGTGAAGTTGATAAAAGCAGATTTGAGGGGAGTTCAAGTTTTGCTAAAACACCTTTCCTCCCCTGACCCCCAGCAAACCCCCTCCTACTGCCTTCTAGGCTACCTGGCCTGATTAGAAGACAGGTGTGAACGAGGTGTGAAGTTAGCTAGGAGTGAACGACACACTTTTTCAGCTCTAAATAGAACACTATCACAATCTTTTTTCTTAATAGGCGCAATCAACTCAAATAGCAGAAAAAGAAATGGGCCGAAAATTTACCATTTTCACCTACTTAGATCAGCAATCTTAAAATGTATTTTTACAATCAGGTGACTTCTACTTAATCAAAATAGTTTGTTTTGTTTGTCTTTTAAAAGAAAAATATAGCCACAAAAATTGTCTATCAATTGCAGTAATTTATGCTATGATCGGATTATTTATCCTTCTTTTTAATGAAACAACAGTGTCAGAGAAAATATTCAGTCGAATTGGAGCAGAAGAGAAGTAATGACGAAAAATAGCGGAAAATGTAATAACTGACTTCTAACGGCTATGAAGATATCTGAAGAGCTATCGCTCCATCAATTCCCACAAATTCCCCCTCTCCACCTCAAGTATCTGAATGACCCTCGAGCTAAACTGGCAAATAGGTGAAATAAAAGAGTTGGGTAACAGTTAAACACCCTAATCCTGTCTAATCCCTGTCAAAATATTTAGCCCCCCTCTCTTTTGCAGATTATTACAACCGAGTAACCCCCTCTTTCCCACCCTACCCCCTTACTATTTGTTCATACCTGCAACCCTACAGTTAGCAAGTGTGGGTTGCTAAACCCACTTGTGAACAGTGAATTAAACAAGCAAATTGTTGTTGTGATCCCAGAAGATCAACTCAAATAGACTCAATTTAAGTAATCATATAATGAGTAGATCTCGCTTTTAACTGAAGTGGAATACATCTGATATTCAAACTTAACCTAAAATTTATGAGATCCAAAACAAAAAATACAATAACGGGTTACTAAAAGTTGATAAATTAAGTTTTAGCTTCTCAACAAGTTTCCAAAAATATTCGTTAGTACCCAATCTAATTATCCCGAATCTAAAAGGATTTTAGTAGCGAAATAAAACTTAAGCTACTGCCAAATTAGTTGCGTTCAAACGTGGGCGCAAGATGCTACAAATCCAGTTCGATATTTTTTATATGTCTACGACTTTTCCAGCCTTGCCGTTGTTAACTAATCATAACAATACAACATGGACATAATTTTTTTGCTATGAATAATTTAAAAGGAAAAGTCCATGTATTAAAAATTCACATACGCTTTTGATGGCCTAGAAACTTGGTGCATTAAAGTTGATAATACCAAGACATAAAAGATTTAAAGAGCTTTTAGGTTTACTAAGTTATTGATTTTAAGTATTGATTTAGTTGAAAAAATAGCTAACAATTTCTCACGAGACTTCCCATGTTTTTTTGCATTCCTTTTACCCACTGCATGTTTTATTATAAGCAACACATTTTCAAACAATTAGTCAATACTCAAAATCGAAAAATTAAAATAGTTTGAAAAACATCAAGTTAGTACTATCAACTATAATGCATACTTAAAAATGAAAGTATGATAATCGCAATTCAAGGCTTTTTCTGCCTACTGAAAATGCATTAAACTCAAAAAAAAAATTAAGTCGACTACGAGTGATTTATTTTGGTACGGGCAACACATGAAAAAGATGATCAAAATTATAAAAGTTTATAAAGCAAAATCCGTAGCTGATTTCATAAAAGTGTGCGGCTTACCAGCAAAAACTATTCGATCATGATACCCAACCTGAACCCTTGTTCAACAAAACAGTTGTAAGCACGTAATGTTTTCGATACAAATAGCTCGATATAAATTGAATTTCTACGAGTGAAAACACGAAAACCACATGTATCAAGTGGGAAATATACGCATGCTTAATTTGAGCAAATAAAGGATGTAGTTAATGTTACATAAAAAGACAAGTTCAAAATGAAACGCACTCAAAAGCATTCAGTTTATAAGAACTGTTCTGATTCTGATGAAGTAAAAGGATGTATTGTGTTGTATTTTTTTTGATTTTATGATAATTTACCATAAAATTCTGGTAAATTAATTATACAATGCTGTGATTCAATGCTGTGATTGTTTTCTTTGTAATTTAATTTTTTCCTCAAAAAACTTGGTTTTTTTCAAAGTTTCACCATAGTTTCAGCTAGATAGAGCATAAGTTATTAGAACATTACAAAAAACAAGTTCTAGCTCAAATTACATCAACTCTTATCGTGTTTTGAAGTTTTTAGAAAAAAAAATAGAAAAAATCTTAATTTTTTTCAAAAACTATTGGCTTACCGTGAACCAAAAAACATACGGTTACTTTCATTCTACTCAAAAAACACCCTTAATATTTGCCTATTACTTAATGCGCCCTGGGAATTTTTGCGAACAAACTAGATGTTTATGCACAAAATTATCATTTTTTTTTACCATTCTCCTACCATTACCCAGACGCTGAATCCTTAGCAATTCTATTCCCTACCGTAAATTTTTACCCATTGTTAATACATAGCTTAGAAGGCCGAAATCTATAATGTATCTTAAAGCTTAGAGTAATTCAAGCGCCCGCCCTTATGATTAGCCCCAATATGTACTACTAAAATTGCTCAGAAGTTATTGCTAAAAATGTATTTAGACAACAAATGACAATTCTTGAAATTTTAGATTTTTTTCATTCCTTTTTTTTGCAATTGAGAGCCAAAAAAATGGTGAAATTGAGAGTTGTATACTATTTAAGGAAAATCTCGAGACGAGACAAAATATAGACGAACACATCTCATCAAGTATCTGTCTTAAAATAACTTGTTTTATCAAAAACCTTGGGTCGTCATAAAAAAGTAAAACATGGTTTTCAATGAGTTTTCTCTGTTCTGTTCATCCGTTTATTTTTCTGTTTTATCTTGACAGCTTAGATGATGTCAGGATGTGAATCGCTTCCATCTAACATTTTTTGTTTGATTATTTTAAAATGAATTTTATCTCGTTTTTTAAGTACCATTCCAATATTAAAAGAGTTTTTAAAACTTAAATAAGCTGACGATCTAATTTACCTATATGAGTTTCGGTCTCCACAACATTATGGTGCAAAAGAATCATTCGAACTTGAGGTTGAAAAATTCTTTTG